ATAGACAAAATAATCTTGCAAGAATCTATTAATGAAGATCAATGTGTCTTTTGTTATTTAAAAGACAGTTTAGAGCAGGGGTGTCAAACTCTTGGCATCATGTGATGTATTGGGACTTTTTCCCTGTTCGCTAAAACCGGGCAGGGGCGGGGCCAGCATGTGACACATTCATCCTGCAGGCCACGAGTTTGACACCCCTGGTTTAGAGAATAATAGTCGTCTAGTCCAAAACCTGCCAAGGCAGGAATCCTTAGAACATCTCAAATGATTGACCAATCTTTTTTAAAAACTTCCGTGATGGAGGACCCATAGCTACAGGAAGTAAGCTGTTCCAATGCTTAATAATTCTGTCAGGAAATTCCTCATTTCCAGATTAGATCTCTCTCTGATGAACTTCAACACGTGCTCATCTTCAGGTTCTATGGAGATTTAAATCAACTCCCTCTTCCCTGTGACAACCCTTCAATTATTAGAAGACTGGTAACATGTTTCAGTTTTCTCTTCATAAAGCTTAACATACCTAGTTCCTTTAGCCATTCTTCATAGCATTTAGCCTCCAGATCCCTTATCAACCTAATTATTATTCTCTGCACTGTTTCTAGGACCTCAGTATATCTTTTGTTTTGCGATTACCAGAAGTGGATGTGACTTCACTAGGGCAATATAGAGTGGAACTATCCCCTCCCTTAATCTTGATGCTATCCATCTGTTGATGTTGGCCTTTTTTTGACAGCTGCAGCATATTGCTGACTCATAGTTAAGCAGTTGTTCACCAGTTAAGAGAATGTCAGAAGTGGACATTCTAGCTTGTTTAGAACAGTGAAATGAAAATCAAGCTGCAGCAGCCTTTTTTAGATGCAGGGATAATCTGCATCTTTTGATAATCTGATATGAACTTTTCTAATTAAAGCTTTAGAAGATATGAACTTTGAAGAAAACTTTATAAAATGAGTAAAGTTGATCTACATGTCACAGAAGGGACAAATTATTGTTAATGGAGAAACTACGTGAGATACATAAAAGAACAAGACAGGGTTACCCACTGTCTCTTCTGTTTATTTTAGTTTTGAATAGAGACAATATGAGATGATAGGATAGTGGGAATAAAAATGTAAGAAGAAACATCCAGTTGAGAGCTTTTGCAGATGATTTGGTGCTGGTTTTGGAAATCCCTTAAAAGAAATTAAATTATTAAAAATTGAAAATTAAAAGAATTTGGTGTGTTAGCTGATTTCAAAATTAACAAAAAGAACCAAGAAATATGTAGATCCAAATCAAATAGAAATAATGAATAAAATAGGCTTTAAAATCAAGAAGGTAAAATACTTAGGTATTAACAAATATAAAATGCTAGTTTCAAATAAGTCACTTGCAGAGATGGAATGAAGTTAAAAACATGAGAAAATTGTCAATATTGAAGATAATTTCTGTGATTAAGAAATTTTTTTGTCTAGAATGCTATTTTTGTTTCAGAAAATATCTGTTTTAACAACTGATGCACCATTTAAACAATGGCAGAAATATACATACATTTGTGTGGCTGAGAAAAAGCATTAGTTAAATATCAGATGTTGCAGGATGCAAAAGAAAGAGGATTGGTTCTTGTCTGAAATTATACTTTGCAGCTAATTGTTAAGTTTGAATTAATAGAAGGTTATTGGAGTTAGAAGGGCACGATTTGAGATTTGGATAGCAAGGATGCTTATGATACAACAAAGCTAAGGTTAATGTAGTTTTTGAAATATTTTTAAGGCATGCCTTAAAATTATTTCATATTGACAATATGAAATAGTTGTTAACCCAGGTTATGTTTGAAAATATCTTTATGGCTCTCAGCACAAGAAACATTTCATAGATGAGAAATTATAAATAAATATGGTTAATTTGTTTTCACGTTAGAATTTTGTCAGGGAGAATGTAAAATAAAAACAAGAGAACAAGTGGCAGGATATACTTTCTACGGATTTACAGATCAGTTGACCCTACTGGACCAGCATTATGGGAAATACAGGGTTCCATCAAATCTTACCACTAAACAGTAGTACTTCTTACATTATTTAAACAATAGGAAGACATACCAATTAGTATCAATTATATATTATAATTATATTAGTACAATCAGTTACTTTTACACACCTCACATAACAGCAGCAACCAGAGAATTCTCGGAAGTTATTCCACTGTGTTTACTTTGAACAGGTGCAGCCAGTGAGTTCATATAGCATGCAAAGTCAGTTCCAAGCAAACAATATTACTGCTGAGCATAATTCATGAATTAGAGCTGAAACCTGCCTATCATGGCTGAATCCCATGTCTTTATAATATTCAAATAATTGAACTCTGCAAAAGATGCCAAATTAATATTTGAGAAGGATGACGCATGGATTATCTTGCCTTAATTCTAGGAAAGAGTAGAAGAGACCAGGAAGGTGATAGGCAGGTGTGTACTGTGCCCACCCCACCCCCGCTGCATCCATATATGCTCTTAAAGCTCTACCCAGTAAACATTAGCAGCAAAAATAACATTTTAGCATCTTATTTTTATTTTTAAAAGTAGGCAATAGCAAAAAATATGATTTTTAAAAAATACATTTTTAAAAACCTTCCTGGAGAGCAAAAAAAAAAAAAGCAAAAACCAATCATTTCAGTTCTACCCGTTCTAAGGATAAGTAGTGATACAAACGTCTGAACTAAAATTGCATCCTCTACTTATCATCAGCATTCCATAATAGGCAGTCTACATTTAGTGACTACCTCAGCCAGTCCCAATCGTAAGTGCTAAAAAGTACCTTCCTGTACAGAATACTGACAATCTATTGAAGGAGTCCCTCCTAATTAGCTTGATAAAAGCCAGGCAATGTCCATGTGTAAGACTTGATACTACCAGTAGCATACATATTTTGAGTTGCTGGATACTGTCTACCTATCCCTAATAAAAGTCCCAGAAAAAATTGCCAAAAATAGTTGGATCCAACTCACCTACCATAGAATTGTAGATAAAATGGTAAAATAGATGAGATCACTGTTACTCTTGACTTATGATGGACAAATATTTCCATTAACAGTTGTCTTTGCGATGTAAAGTTGGCCTCAAGTTGTGTTTGACTCCTTGTGATTCTGCAGATAGAACCATAATTCTCTGCTAATATGGTTTTTTTCCCCAAGATATTTATCTATACTCTACACCTTTAGTATTCTTTAGTGGATTCCCATCCAACCATTAACCAGATCTGGCCCTGCTTAGCTTCAAGCAAAATGCTGCCATCTGGTGATACTTTTGCTGTGCATGACATGAATTTGGTCTTGACATCTACTGGTATATTAGACATAATGGTTTATCATACAAAGATATAGGAGACAAAAAACTGTCTTTTATAATTAATTTATTCAGAATTAATGTCATCAAATAAATTACTTACATTTTACAAAAAGGAAAAACAACTGACAAACAGTACAAGGAAATTTCAGAACATGAAGACAATCAGGAATAAATGGAAAAGGGAGTCAGTTCAACCTGAGATAAAAGCAGAGATTTAAAGAACATAGCTTACCATATAAAGTTCAACCTTTCTGATCAAGACAATTTAGTTTATCATAGTAATTGTCTGAACCATTTGAAATTGTATGAAAATCATTACACACACGTAGATCAGTTCCCCAGTAATGAGCATTTAGAAAGATATGACCTCAAAATCTGAAGATTCCAATTATATTTTGTAATTATCTGTAAGTACATATACATACGTTTGAAATATTCTTAAGGATCACATTACATGAATAAAGTTTTATGCTTTTAATGAGAAATTTTATAATGATGTCATCCTAGCTTCTATCAAATAGAGAAGTATTTACCTTACATTGCATAATTTTATGGATTTAGATTGTCCATTTCATTTTGTAAAATAAAAAAATCCCCTTGTTCTAGCTTTTTCACATATGAAAAATGTGGTACTTTGATTATTTAGGTACTCCTTTTACTTGTTTCCCCCCCACATCCAGTCAATTTTTACAGAATGAGTAGAATATTTAAACAAAAAATTAAAACAAATGACTGAAAACCCCGTCCCCCAAAACTGATAATGTATTTTATTTATTTATTTGAATTGCAAATAATGCCTGAAGCACAAAACTTTATTCCATAATAATTATAACTAAAGATTGGAATGTAAATTTTGATTTTCCCTGGACAGTCTGCAATTGGAATTTGTTAATACCAGTCATTTTCTAAAATATACAAATGTAGTATATGCAAATGTAGTCAGAAAGGTATCTACTAGTTGTGTTAATTTCCTTTATGATCTGCCATATGTAAATGTGTCCTGCCAGAAATCCATATATTATTTCCAGATAATTACCTGTAATTCATTTAAAATACAAGCACTTTTTAAAACTAAAATGGTAAAGAATTAAAACTGTAACTTTTACATTATCCAATATGAAGTATAGGTAGCCCTTGACTTATGGCCAAGGTTGGGACTGTTGCTAAGTGAAGCAGTTGTTAAAAGAGAGTTATGCCCAATTTTGCAACCTTTTTTCAATATTTTTAAGTGAATCATATGGTTGTTAAACAAATCTGGCTTCCCTATTAACGTTGCTTGTCAGAAGGCAGTTGGGAAGATCACAATAGGCAATCATGTGACCCCAGAATGCTGGTACTGTCATAAATACATGCCAGTTGTCAAATATCCAAATTTTGAACATGTGATTGCTCTGGCAGTCATGTGAGATAACAAACTTTTTTCAGCTCTGTCATAACATCAAATGGAAGAGACCTTGAAATTTTGTTTTCTAAAGCCATACTCTGTCACAGTCCAATATAAATTATTCAGTCAAACTATAGAAATACTGGCACAGTACTGAATCTCTTTATTATGTAGTGGCAAATAGAGTTAACAATCCTTTCAGAAAGGAAACTATTTCATTGCCTCCTAGCTTGGATTCTCCGTAGACTCTATCCACAAATGATATAGGAACCTTAAATGAAAAAATAATAAAATCATATCAGTTACAAGATCCAATAAAAAGATAAACAGGAACACTTCATCTCAAGATTCTGTCTTTATCTACCAACATGTGTTGTGGTTCACTGGCAGCAGATGCAGACTGCTGAGGTCTCTGAGAGCGAGAACTCAGACGAGGGGCCTGCGTGTGATGCAGGGACGGGACCAGGACTATCGGAGAGTGGGGTGCTGCCTTTGGAGGTTGTAGCAGTGACGAAGAGGACCCCGGGGAGCCTGTGCTCAGGGCTGCTCGAAGGAAAGAGCAGCTGAAGCAGCACGGGCAACTCAGGAGTAAGGCTGGAAGGTGATGGCCCCTCCCATAAGGGATAAAAGCCAGCCTTCAGGGTTAGCTTTTTTTCAGGAAGCAAATAAGTTCTTTCTGCTCAGAGTCCTTATTGAAGCCCTACTTACTCCAGTTTGTTTTTTGAAACTTCTGGCTTTGGATATTTATCTGCAATTAGTCTTTTGCTCTTGGCAGCCTTTCGCAACCTTGAAAGGGCTTGCTGTTATCTGGGACAGTTAGTTTTGAATGACTCTTGGCTGTGAATGCATAGAATTCACAGCACTGCATTAAAAAGGTTTGCTTTGTGTTTGATTTGAACAAGGCTTGGGTCAGAACAACATTAACGGAATGTGTTTTGATGTAGAGTATGAAGTAATAGCTTTCTCACATTTAAATATGCTCAAAGAACATTTATTACAAAATCATTATTGCAAAACAGCCTACCCAAAGCCTGAATATGAAGATGGCATGCTAAAAAGAAACACCATATTCAGGACTGTCTTTTCTCTGATTATTATCATCTTTCAAACACTGCCAACAACTCTTTGTTTACTCAAGTTGCAAATCATTTAATTTTGATTGTTGATTCGCTATAATCTGTACTGATTGTTTTAGTGCTGTTTTATGATGTGGTGTAATTCTAATCTTTTAAATGAATTAGAAAAAATAATCAGGTTCCTTTTAAATCTACTAAAGTATCTGTATCTTCCTTATGTTGAAATGAAATCCATTATTGTTGCTACAATACAGAATAACAACTTTGCACTTTTTAAAGATACCATATATATCTTATTGAATACAGTATCCATATGTGTAATAGAACAAAAATGTACATTTTAGTGTTATGGTGGCTAGTGTATCTATTCTAAAGAAGTATAGGTTCCCAATT